TATGCTGTGATCAGTGTGTGTGTGTGTGTGTATCTCTATGCTGTGATCAGTGTGTGTGTGTGTGTGTATCTCTATGCTGTGATCTGTGTGTGTGTGTGTGTATCTCTATGCTGTGATCTGTGTGTGTGTGTGTGTATCTCTATGCTGTGATCTGTGTGTGTGTGTGTGTATCTCAATGCTGTGATCAGTGTGTATGTGTGTATCTCTATGCTGTGATCAGTGTGTGTGTGTGTACGTCTCTCTCTGCTGTGATAGGAACAAGAGGAGGCCATTCAGCCCTTCGAGCCTGTTCCACCATTTAATTAGACTATGGCTGATCTGTACCTCAACTAATCCTTTCAATTCCAATTTCCCGCTTTCTCCCCATATCCCTTAATACCCTGACCTACCAAAAATCTATCAACCTCACTCTTGAAGGTGTGGATGGATCCAGCATCCACAGCCTTTGGGGGAGTGAATTCCAGATTTCTACAACTCTAAGTGAAAAACTGCTTCCTCATTTCACTCTTAAATGGCCTGGTTCTAATTTTAAGACTCTGCCCCTTTGTTCTGGATTCCCCCATCAGAGGAAATAGCTTCTCTGTATCTATCCCATCAAACCCCTTTATCATCTTAAATACCTCAATCAAATCACCCCTCAACCTTCTAAACTCAAGGGAATACAATCCAAGTTTACGCAGCCTTTCCTCGTAACTTAACCCTTTTAGGCCTGGTAACATTCTGGTGAACCTGCGCTGCACCCCCTCCAGGGCCAATATATCTTTCCTGAGGTGTGGTGCCCAAAACTGAACACAGTACTGCAGATGGGGTCTGACTTACGCTCTATACAGCTGAAGCATCATTTCTTCCCCTTTGTATTCCAGGCGGCTTGAGATAAAGGCCAACATTTTATTCTCCTTTTTGATTACTTTTTTGCAGCTGGGAACTAGCTTTTAGTGATTTGTGGATATGGACACACAAAACTCTTTGCTCCTCCACAGTTCTTAGTTTCTCCCCGTTAAGAAAATATTCTGCTTCATCCTTTTTTGGTTCATAGTGAATGACCTCACACTTCCCTACATTGAACTCCGTCTGCCACAGCATTGCCCACTCACTTAATCTGTTTTAAGTCCCTTTATAACTTCTTACTCCCATCCACACAACTTACTGAGCCTCCTCGCTTACTATGTTTGATCAGGGTGATGAGTGTGTGTATATCTCTATACTGTGATCAGGGTGTGCGTGTCTCTGCTGTGATCAGGGTGTGCGTGTGTCTCTATGCTGTGGTCAGTGTGTGTGTGTCTCTATGCTGTGGTCAGTGTGTGTCTCTATGCTGTGGTCAGTGTGTGTGTGTCTCTATGCTGTGGTCAGTGTGTGTGTGTCTCTATGCTGTGGTCTATGTGTGTCTCTATGCTGTGGTCAGTGTGGTGTGTCTCTATGCTGTGGTCAGTGTGTGTCTCTATGCTGTGGTCAGTGTGTGTCTCTATGCTGTGGTCAGTGTGTGTGTGTCTCTATGCTGTGGTCAGTGTGTGTCTCTATGCTGTGGTCAGTGTGTGTGTGTCTCTATGCTGTGGTCAGTGTGTGTGTGTCTCTATGCTGTGGTCAGTGTGTGTCTCTATGCTGTGGTCAGTGTGTGTCTCTATGCTGTGGTCAGTGTGTGTGTGTCTCTATGCTGTGGTCAGTGTGTGTGTGTCTCTATGCTGTGGTCAGTGTGTGTGTCTCTATGCTGTGGTCAGTGTTGTGTGTCTCTATGCTGTGGTCAGTGTGTGTGTCTCTATGCTGTGGTCAGTGTGTGTCTCTATGCTGTGGTCAGTGTGTGTCTCTATGCTGTGGTCAGTGTGTGTGTGTCTCTATGCTGTGGTCAGTGTGTGTGTGTCTCTATGCTGTGGTCAGTGTGTGTGTGTCTCTATGCTGTGGTCAGTGTGTGTGTGTCTCTATGCTGTGGTCAGTGTGTGTGTGTCTCTATGCTGTGGTCAGTGTGTGTCTCTTTGCTGTGGTCAGTGTGTGTCTCTATGCTGTGGTCAGTGTGTGTCTCTATGCTGTGGTCAGTGTGTGTCTCTATGCTGTGGTCAGTGTGTGTCTCTATGCTGTGGTCAGTGTGTCTCTACACACACACACCACACTGAGCACAGCCCACACACACACACACACACCACACCACCCGAGCACAGCCCCACACACACACACCGAGCACAGCCCCACACACACACACACACACACACACCGAGCACAGCCCCACACACACAGACACACACACCGAGCACAGCCCCACACTCACACTGAGCACAGCCCCACACACACACACACACACACTGAGCACAGCCCCACACACACACTCACTGAACACAGCCCCACACACACAAACTGAGCACAGCCCCACACACACACACACACTGAGCACAGCCCCACACACACACACACACATGAGCACAGCCCCACACACACACACACACACACTGAGCACAGCCCCACACACACACACACTGAGCACAGCCACACACACACACTGAGCACAGCCCCACACACACACACTGAGCACAGCCCCACACACACACACTGAGCACAGCCACACACACACACACACACTGAGCACAGCCCCACACACACACACACACACACACACTGAGCACAGCCCCACACACACACACTGAGCACAGCCCCACACACACACACACACTGAGCACAGCCCCACACACACACACACACTGAGCACAGCCCCACACACACACACACTGAGCACAGCCCCACACACACACACACTGAGCACAGCCCCACACACACACTGAGCACAGCCCCACACACACACACACTGAGCACAGCCCCACACACACACACACACTCCTGAGCACAGCCCCACACACACACACTGAGCACAGCCCCACACACACACACACACACACTGAGCACAGCCCCCCACACACACACACACACTGAGCACAGCCCCACACACACACACACACACTGAGCACAGCCCCACACACACACACACTGAGCACAGCCCACACACACACACACACACTGAGCACAGCCCCACACACACACACACACACTGAGCACAGCCCCACACACCACACACACTGAGCACAGCCCCACACACACACACACCGAGCACAGCCCCACACACACACACACCCGAGCACAGCCCCACACACACACACACCGAGCACAGCCCCACACACACACACACACACCGAGACGCCCACACACAGAGCACAGCCCACAACCACACACAGGCACCCAACACACACGAGCACAGCCCCACACACACACACCACAAGCCAGCACACCCGAACAGCCACACACACCGAGCACAGCCCCACACACACACACCGAGCACAGCCCCACACACACACACCGAGCACAGCCCCACACACACACACCGAGCACAGCCCCACACACACACACCGAGCACAGCCCCACACACACACACCGAGCACAGCCCCACACACACACACACACACCGAGCACAGCCCCACACACACACACATAATAATAATAATAATATATAATAATCCTTGCATTTGATATAGCGCTTTTCACGTCGGGAGGACGTCCCAAAGCGCTTCACAGAACACACTGTAAAGTGAATTGACTGTATATTTGTGGGCGAACGCGGCAGCCAATTGCGCACAGCAATGTCCCACAAACAGTCATGGATTGAAAATGACCAATTTATTATTGTTTTTGGTTTTGGAGGGATTATTATTAGGCTCTGTGTGGAGTAAGGAAACTTGCCCAAGGTTTCGCCCTCTGCCTGGAATTGAACTCAGGTCTCTCACTTGCAAAGCGAGTGCTCAACCACTGAGCTCCAGGACTCCACACACACACACACACACACACACAGAGCACAGCCCCACACACATACACACACACCGAGCACAGCCCCACACACACACACACTGAGCACAGCCCCACACACACACACCGAGCACAGCCCCACACACACCGAGCACAGCCCCACACACACACACACACACTGAGCACAGCCCACACACACACACTGAGCACAGCCCCACACACACACTGAGCACAGCCCCACACACACACACACTGAGCACAGCCCCACACACACACACACTGAGCACAGCCCCACACACACACACACACTGAGCAACAACAACAACAAGATTCCATTTATAAAGCGCCTTTCACGTCAGGAGGACGTCCCAAGGCGCTGTACAGTTGGGTCATGACCCGAGCAGTGGGGAAATGGTCAGGGTGAGGGGAGGGAAGGGAGGGGGGGAAGAGAGTCGAGAGGGGAGCTGAAGGCTCGGTCAAAGAGGAGCACAGCCCCACACACACACTCACACTGAGCACAGCCCCACACACACACACTGAGCACAGCCCCACACACACACACTGAGCACAGCCACTGAGCACACACACACACACACTGATCACACACACACTGAGCGCAGCCCCACACACACACTGATCACACACACACTGATCACACACACACACAATGATCACACACACACACTGAGCGCAGCCCCACACACACACACTGAGCACAGCCCCACACGCACCGATCACACACACACACGCAGCGATCACACACACACACGCAGCGATCACACACACACACGCAGCGATCACACACACACACGCACCGATCACACACACACACGCACCGATCACACACACACACGCACCGATCACACACACACACACGCACCGATCACACACACACGCACCGATCACACACACACACGCACCGATCACACACACACACACGCACCGATCACACACACACACGCACCGATCACACACACACACGCACCGATCACACACACACACGCACCGATCACACACACACACGCACCGATCACACACACACGCACGCCCTGGTCGCGGCAAAGAGACACTCACACAAACACTGATCACAGCATAGAGGTACACACACACACAGATCGCGGCATAGAGATACACACACGCTGATCGCGGCGTAGAGTCGCACACGCTGATCGCAGCAAAGAAACATGACACGCAGAGC